TTGGTTGAGGTGATTTTTTTCGTCTTGTCATTTTGTCCAGAGGAGAATAGATGAATGAGAGAACAAAATGCTAACAGGGTAACAATGTCCCTAAAAAATATACTCTAAACAAATCAGAAAAGACCTGAAACCAGGGGAAAAGAAAGGGAAAGAAAGAAAAAAGAAAGAAAAAGAACAAGATAAAAACAAATAAAAACAAAACAAAACAAAAAAAAAACAGAATATGATCAAATATGATCAGGCTGGTGCACAGATCAGTGCCACACACTAGATTTTGGGTGTATTTGGTCTGATAGAAGAAAGTGCCTCCCAAAATTTTAAAGAAAGAAAGACTTATATATGTACAAAATAAGAATTGATATGATGAAGGGATGGAATATGATTGTAAAGATGAAAATTATAAAAAATTTTATAAAAGGAATTGATAAGAAGTTGTTTGAAAAAAGAAAGAAGGGGACTTAAAAAAAAAAGAAAGAAAGAAAAAAAAAGGGGGAAAGAATGTGATCAGGCAGGAGACTAGAACAAAACCATACACTAGAGATTTACGGTATATTTTGATCTGTTAAAAGAAACTGTATCTCAAAATTTTAAAGAGAGAACAACTTATATATATATGCCAAAAATAAGGGTAACTATTATGAAGGGATAGAATATCAGTCTAAAAATGAAAAATAAAAATGTTGTTTTAAAAAAGGGATTGATAAGATGTTGGTTGAAAAAGGGAAAAAGAAAAATTCAAAAAAAAGTTAAAAAAATTAACTTTGAAAAACTAAAGTATCATGGTAAAAAAGCCATGAATTCTATGTGCAGTATTCCCCTAGCATTGGTGTTCTGCTGTTCTCATTGATCGGTAAACTTGATCTTGGCTGGCGGTTGTGCTGATCTTCTCGGGGAGGGGCCTGTTGCCGTGGTTTCCGAATGTCTTTGCCGGAGGCGGAATTGCCCTGCCCTTGCCAGTCTGGGCTAAGCAAGCTGCTCGGGTTTGCTCTCGGGAGCTTTGGTTCCCTGTAAGCTTTCCGTTCAGCTTTGGAGGACGAGGGTGAAAATGGCGGCCTCCCAATCTCTGCCCGGGATGAGCCGAGAACTCGGGGCCCCGCTCCTCAGTGCACCCCCAGAGAAAAGCAGTCAATCACTCCCGTCTCCCTGGTCTCCGGCTGCACTCCGTGCTCACCCAGCCTGTGACCGAGCATTTGTATCTCTGGCACCCGACCCCGTGTGGAGTCTCCAAACCCAGGAGATCCCTGCAGTGTGCTCCCGCGCCCCTCCTCCCGGGGGAGGAAGGGGTGTCTCCCCAGATCTGCCGCTTGTTGGGTCCCTTCTAGAGGAGCAGTGGCCCGACTGTGCCGTGGATCATGGTTTATGGCAACCCCGAGCTGAGAGCCCGCGCCTCGGCTCCATCTCTGCAGCCGGCTTCCCCACTCCGATCCCTGGGAGCTCTGCCGTACTCAGGCAGCCCCGGTCTTTCTGTGACCCCGAGGGTCCTGAGACCCACCCCCTGCTTAGCCACTGGAGCGATGTCCCTCAGCGGAGCCGGCTTCTAAAAGTTCCGATTTTGTGCTCCGTGGCTCTAGCACGTGCCAGAAGCGGCTGACCGAGGCCCCCTCCTCCGCCGTCTATCCTCCCGAATATCACCTCGGATTCACTTCTCTGCACATCCTACCTTCCAGAAAGTGGTCGCTTTTCTGTTCAGAGAGTTGTTGCTATTCTTCTCTTTGATCTCCTGTTGAGTTCGTAGGTGTTCAGAATGGTTTGATCCCTATCCAGCTGAGTTCCTGAGACCAGACGAAATCCAGGTCTCCTACGACTCCGCCATCTTGCTCCGCCCCCTCCAGGTTGCTTTCTGAAAATGCTCATGTAACCCTTTGTATCTCCATGTAGCTCTGATTCTGCATTGGCCTGCATTCAAAGAAGCCCTCTCCAAACAGGCAAAGGTACTACGCAAAATCTTTAACTTGTATCTTTGGCAAATCCTGTTTGAATCACCCACTGACATTTCATATCCCCTTCTGCAACCTTACATTTCTCAATACCCCCTTCATCCATTACAAAACAACCAAGCAACCACAACAAAACAATTGATTTAGCTTCTTTCATTAAGTCTTTCCCTTGGTCCTCTGTATCTCTAGCCTGTTCTCCGTCACTTTCTAGTTCAGTATCACCAAAGGAAACATCTAACAACAAGAGAAAGACCCTCATCGGAGAGTCACAAGGAAGCCCCAAGGCCAATGATGATGAACACTGCAGGGAGAATTGAAGGACATCTTATGTGTATTGAAACATCTGGCTGTGCTTTGGGGAAATTTTTGAGCCAGGTGAATCCCTTAGGATTCTAGCCAGTGGAGGGGGTGCATCTGGCATGTGACTTTTGAGAATTCCTGCATCCAGGAATTAACTCCAGGTCACACTGGGATACTGAAGAGAAACTGACACCAGGATCCTGAGTTGTGATCATCTGCCTATTATTTAGGGGTTTCTTTTCCTTTAATACCTCTTCCTTTTAGGTAGCTGCGGACATCATTCAGGCCAGCATTAAGTTAGTGACAGACTCAACTGAACAACGAAGCTTTCCCCATACTTCTATATCGGGCTGGAGTCAGAAGAGCTAAGGGAGCTCACCAAATGCTTCACTATCCTTTGTGGGCATCTCTCAACATCAGAAGACACTGTAGGCTACTGGAAACAGTGCAGATCTATACTTAACGTTCTCTTTTTCTCCTCTTCCCTTGCCCTGCACCCATCTGTAAATTACTACTCTCAACTTTTCCCTTTCTCTTTTTTACAAATGATACCGTGTATGCCAACGGTGATTAGTCCCTGCCCCTACCAACCCCCCTTGATGCCACAACATCTCAGATTTGCCTCTTGGGGACAAACGGTGATCATGTGACTCCTCTTGGTTGGGTCTGATGGATGGTTTTGATACAGGTGAGCAATGATGAAGATACACAGTAGAGGTTAAAACCACACAGAGGACTCACTCCATACTTGTTCCCACCCTGGAAACAGAAAGCCCTTTCCTCCCTCCCGAAAAGTCACACATTGCAGAAATAGCTGTAGAGAAGGAAGTGAAATTTCTTCACAAGCTCACAGATGATGGTGATGTGGGTTAAGCCAGGCTTTAGAAAGAGCAAAATTGGAAGAGCTTATCTGACTTACAAATCAGTGACAAAGAATGAGAACATTTCAGGTCTATCAGAGAGGAATGCGATTCTATTAAATTGGTTACTTTTTCCAGGTAGACAATCCCAAACTCCCACCTCTGCCTCTAATACGTCTGAGACTCTAAGAAATATGTTAGCAATCTTACACGTGCTTACTGCCTCCAGAGAAACCAGACTTCATGTTTGACTTCATCTAATAGCAGCTGACTGATTACTAAGACCTACAATATGGTCTTAGGGATGACGAGGATATGACAATGCGGTGCTGTCCTTAGTGCTTCGGGGGTTCTTGTTCCCCGATATTAATGTGATACCTTCCCTTCCCCCTCTCCCACCAGAAAATCAGTAGCTGGGTAAGAACCTTTACTCTCCCGTCATTCTATTGAGAGCCTGAGGAAAGGAGTGATCCTGTTAGACAAAGGATATCAAGAAAGGACAAGGTCCTACCAATAAGATGTCCTGGCCAGAGGGAGGACTAGCTGATTCAGAACAGAGTCATGAAAGATACAGGGATATTCTGGTGCCAAACAGCTAAGAGAAGGCTGACTGCATGTATAATGGGAAGCCCAGTATTTCTGATTCATTGAACACGGGAAAGGGGGATTTAAAAAAAAAAAACTTTCTGCATTTATACTTAATGGGACTCCTTAGGTAGAAGCTGGAATTTGTCTTTAGGACGTCTGTCTCTTTGCTATGGTGGGAAACAAATTTCATGAGCACTTTTTGCTTCACAGAGGGAAGCAAGTCCCTGGTCCTTGTTATGGGGCTTGCCCCGAACTCTGTGAATGACCAAACAAGCAGAGCTTCAGGCTAAGGTGTTAAGTGGTTTGTTTAATGATGTAAAGTTATCTTCAAGTTGGGGGCAAGGCATGCTGCAGCATATAATATACAATGTAGATGAATGTTTTGTTTGCTCTGGCTGACTAGGGGAGTGGGAAGGAGGAGACCAAGACTGGGACTGCCATGTTGAAATTGAGAAGACAGGGAGATGGGTGGTAGGTATGGAAACATGGTGCCAGCCCAGGGGTCAAGGAGTGGTGGGCCCTGGGACTCCCTCTTTGGAGGAATAACCTTGCGTCCCGGGACAGTGACAGCTGATATGCATCACCTTTCCTAGATGAATGGTTCCTTTCCCTCTCCGCAATTCCCTTGTGAATGTCTGATAAACAGAAGATGTCAGTGCGGCAAATCTTGGGGATGTGGGGATGAGGAGGAGTCTGTACCCTGGTTTTCATGAGAAATTCAACAGGCAATAACTGTGTTAGTGGACCCAGGAAGACATCTTGTTGAGAAATAACAAGTAGCAACAATCCAGCTGGGATGGTATTATCGGACATAGAGTAGCAATGAACTTTCCTTTGGGACTACTGCACCACAGGAGGCTTTATCTCTGCCATGCAGGGGTCAGCTTGGGATGCTGCTGGTAGACCAAGGAGAAATCAGGGTGAGTGAAGGCAAAAAGGGTGAAGCATTATTTTCCTCCATCTGTATTTCTGGGGCTCCCCAGTAGTCATGATGAGACTTGATCAGTTATAACAGAGCAGTTAACTCTGAGAAGACTCATGACCTGGAATCCCATGGCACATCAAGGGGGCCCAACCGTAGGAGGGATCACTGGCTCTGTAGGAAACCACTGGTCTCTGGGCCACTTGCCAAGCAGGCAGCACACGCCGTTCAGATGCCAACACAATGAGCCACAACTGGCTCAAGTATTTCAGGGCCTGAGCACTCATAGAAGGTCCCTGCTCGGAAGTGATCAGTAGAGCAAGGACCTGGCCACACGGCAGTATTGGGCCAGGTGGGGTCAGCAGAGTCTGAAGGACAGCACCAGACACTCACCTCCTTTTGATGGTGAGCATGACGCCCAGGAGAATGATGATGAACATGAGGAGGCCAGCAATCACACCGGCCATCTTCACGGTATTGTCCACCTGCTTCTCCGGCTCCACAGTGTTAGAATTCTGAGTGGAGGCACCTTCGAGGGGAAAGAAGAAGAGAGATGTTGAAAAGGCTCATACACATGACTAGAAAACAATTATAATGAAACCAGCTTCCATTTATTGAGTGCTGACTATGTGCCAGGTACTGTGCTAAGAGTATTACACACAGTGTCCCATCTAATCTTTTTGAGGATTAGTCCCTTGTGATGTTGGGATTATTATACCTTTTTTTTTTCAGATGAAGAAACTGAGGTGCAGAGAAATGAAATGAGTGGTCCAAGGTTGCCGAACTGCTGGGCTGGGGCATTCTTATCCTCCAGTGAAATCAAGTGGAAGGTTTTATCTCCCACACTGATTTGCCCCTAGGATCAAACCATGGATCTATAGTTCCATTTTTGAGTTCATGGAATTATCCCAAGCCCTACTTTATTCTTTTTGGTAAGTGGTGAAAACAACAGCTTTGTGTTAAGGTAACATGATTATAATCACTGGATTTTAAAAGGTACACACATAAAGATTTTGTTTTGTGCCTTATATGAAAGAAATGGTATGGCAGAAATGTAGTTCATTGAAGGAACTGCCTGGGGTTTGGAAAACACACGCGACTAACTCCATTTCTGGAATTTAATGCTGATGCTACGTACTCTGCCAGGTACTAACTTACTGATTCAACTCCAGGTAGCCAAAAAATGCCTCCGCCTGGCCTCTTCAGGCAATGGACCAGGGGTCAGAGGCCACTTCTCATTCCAGACACCTAGATGAACACTCCTGGAGAGTGGCCCAGGGGTTACCAGCACCCTGAGTGAATTCCTTCCTGCTGCTGTTCATATTCCCAATGGTGCCATGTTTGTGTGGGGCAGCCTAAATCCACAGAATCCTCTCCCTGACACATCTCTACTTTTCTGCCTCCTGAACACCAGCTCATCTTTCATCACTGACTGCATCTCCTCTGGTGGCCTGTACCCCTGGGAGAGTTCCTCTTTCTTCACTAAATTCTAACCCCCTGTAACATTTGGCACACACCTAAATATACAGATATTATTAGTTATTTGTTTCTCCATCTGTCTCCTCCAGTGGTCTGCAACCTCCTTGGGTGGGGGGAGATTATACCTCCTTTATTTTCATTTCCTCATGGTAGCACTGAGCCTGGCTTGTAATAGGTATTCCCTTAATGTTTGTGATTGTTCAACATTTAGCTGAAGGGGTGACACCTATGCTCACACACTTTTGTTCTCATGGCACCAAATTGAATTTCTCCACTTTCAGCCATGTGTTCACAGAACTCAGCTGAATTGAAGGGATGCTAATGCCCAAAAGCTATGATTCTGATTCCCCAAACTCACTGATGTTTAAGAACAGCCCTCCAGCACAAGGATGCATCCCTTCTTCTTATTGTGTCAAATGTTTTTCTGGAGCACAGCACATTCCCCAAACTGTCTTGTAACTGGGACAAGCTGGGTTTACTTAGTCTAGTCTCCCCAGTGGGAATGGCCAGTCTCCAAGAACAGGGAGTGCGTGTTCTCATCTCTCTAATGTCAGTGTCTCTCATACAGGCCGTCCTTCTCCTCCTCCTGTTGATTTAACAGATGATTACTGAATGATACAAAGATGAGTGGACTGCAATTGTTCACTTCACTCATTTATTCACTTACTACTGAGCACCCATATGTCAAATGATGCTATCTATGGGATGGGATGAGAGACCCTTCTCCCGGATGGACTCATGAATATGGGATTTTATTCAGTTCCCTTCACCAGCTAAAGGAAAGATCATCAAATCCCAGGGCTGCCTGAGAGCAAGCTCTGCTCATCTACGGACCAGAGAGTTCATAGGGGGAGTTAGCCAACCACCTCTTTGGCAGGGCTGGTCTCATATCCTGGAATGGGGGCAGGTTCCTAGGAGCCCCCACATAGCCTCCATTTCCCAGTTTGGAGCCATGATTTCTGAGATATGGCTAGTCCACTGCGTACCAAACATCAAGGAAACTGAACACCCCAGATAACAATTTCCTCAATTGTGTCAGAATCTTTCTATTTGGATTTGGAGGAAGGAAATTGGCTCGGGAGCATTCACTGGCAAAGCTAAACTTTATTTAGTGCCTGCTCTGAGATTCTATTCTAGAGACCCGTGGTACAAGAGCAAAGGAGCCCTGGAGAGGATCCTATTACCTTAGGAACACTGTTGCTGGCTTGGCTTAAAGAGATTCACACTTCATTCCTTTGGTAAATAATCACAAGCACTCACTATATGCCAGGCATTCAGTGATACAGTGGTGAGCAAAACAGGCACAGTTCCTGCCCTCAAAGAACCTACCATGAGTGCTGGTGGTGGTGGGGCTCGGGAGATAGAATTAATGAACCATGAATTGATAACAGTAAGCTTTCAAATCTGTTAATGATGAGACAAGAGAGGCATGTGGCACTTGGAAAGCACATAAGAGGGGAATGAAATCACTAGTGGGAAGATGTGGCCAATGGGGTGAGCTCCAAGGGATGATGGACTATGACCAGGTAGAGAACACTACACGAGCCTGTGGGAGCAGCAGAAGGAACAGCACTGGCTGAGGCTGTGTGATGGGCTAAGGAACCTGGAGCACTCAAGAAATGAAAGAAACATAGTGTAACGAGGGTGAGAAAGCAGAGTGAGCATGTTAAGAGAGAAGCTGGAGAGCGCAGCTGGGGCCTGTCCACACAGGGCATCAGAGGCCACAATGAGAGCTTCTGTTCTTTACCCCGAGAAACCCAGACAGCCATTTAAGTGTTGTTCATGGAGCAATAATATGCTCAGATTTGCTTTTCTAACAGATCATTCCAGCTTCAGCATAGAGCCAAAGTGGCTTGGAGACACGAATTTGGAAACCATGGTAGGCGTCCAGGTGGGAGATGATAGTTGTGTGGACTTAGGTGATGGCAGTGGAGATAGAAAAAAAGAGATAATTACTTGAAATGCATATAAATAAAATCTGTTGATGGGATGGATGCAGAGAGTGAGGGAGAAAGATGTCAAGGATGCCCACAAGTCTTTGGTTTCCTTTTTTTTTTTTTTAAAGATTTGAGAAAGAGAGAGAGACTGTGTGTGTGTGTGTGTGTGTGCGTGCATACACACACACACACACACACACACACACACACACACTCGCAAGTGCATGTGTAGGGGAAAGGCAGAGGGGGAGGGAGGGGGAGTCCTCAGCAGACTCCCTGCTGGTCACGGAACCCAACACGGAGCTCAATCTCATGACCCTGAGATCACAACCTGAGATGGAACCAAGAGTTGGACGCTTAACCAACTATGCCACCCATGTGCCCCAAGTCTTTGGTTTTCATAACAAGGTGGATGATGGTTCTGTTTATGGGTTCAAGAAACAATAGAATGAGTATAGCTATAGAGAGAAAATGGATGTTTTGGGGGCAATCTGAACTAGAGATATACTCTAGAAAAGGAGGCAGTTAAAAATGCAGGTCTGGAACTCTGGAAAGAGGTCTGAGCTGGAGGTAAAACTGTGATTTATGCACACAGACTGTATCTGAAGCCCAAAGTTGATGGAGTCACTCAGAGAAAAAAAAATGAAAGGAGAATCGAGCTTAGAGACAGAGCAGCACTTAATGAGTGGGTAGAGGAAGATGTGCCTGCACAGGAGGCAGAGCAGGAGTGGCCAAATGGGTAAGAAAACAACCCAGGAGAATCAAGTGCCCTAGAGCGAAGAGAAGAGTGTTTTCGAGAAGGAAGGAATAATGGACCATGTCAAACACTGCTCCTAGGATGGAATCAAGCTCCATACTCAAGGGAAAGCGAAGGTCTTGGATGAGTATTAGAAACCCTTCTCCAAATAAGTCCCAAGATGTCCCTAGACTGAAGTGCCTTCAGTGGTGACCATGAACCAACAATGGAACACACCTGATCCAGGGAGGCTATCTGAAAGGCCAGAACCCAGTGGTGTAGACAAATTCAATGAGTTCAGCCAACAGGCATCAGAGGTGAAATCACATACTCTGTACAGGGAAGTTATGAGAAGGAATCATGCTTGGCTGACCCAACCAGACTCCAGGTACAGGGACATGAACATGCCCCAGGACATCGCCAACCCAACATCCAACACAGCACCGTTTCAAGGGCATTAGCTGTGGCCACTGTGGAATTGTGCCTCAGTTCAAAAAGGAAGTATGCCAACAGTGTTGAAAGGTGGTACAGGTATAGAGGAAATGACTCTGGGACTGAAGACAGACAGCATTCCTGTGTGGCTCCTCCATCTGAGAGGAAGAAGAAAGGGACAGAGACCAAGCATGGGTTAGCCCTGCTCCTGATTCAGAGTCAGAAGCATGCCCATGAGGCTTAGATCTAAGTGGTCAACAGAGCAGATGAGACCCTGAGATAGGACATACAGGGAAGCACATAAGGGTTGCCTTATGATGGGGCCTGCTAGCAATGTGATGGGCTGTTTCAAGTAAGCACTGATCAAACAGAAGCTCAGTTACTACAACTTTTAAAAAATTCAGCTTAAATGGACTGATCCATTGCTGGGCGCCAAGTAATGTGCCAAATACTTTTCATATATGAGGTCATTTAATCTTCACAAAACTCAGAAGATGCTAGTTTTGTTTTCCCTTTTATATAGATAAGAAAACTTCACAGAAGGGTTAAATGACTTGTCCAAAGCCATATAACTGGTGAGTTCCAGAGGTGGACTCTGTACAGGGCTCACCCTCTTATCACTATAATGAACTGTCCTTGATAGAGTTGTAGTTAAGGAAATGCCAGAACTGGGTCCACAAAGAATGTTGGCCATGCAACTCACTGGCCAGAAATCCAAGGGAAGTTTTCAGAGGTAGAACTGGTAGCCCTTCAGCAACATGATAGCTGTGTTGCTTTTGCTCTAAGCCCACCCTTTTCATGACAGTCAAAGTTAGTACCATACCAGTCCCCAGTCCCTAAAAAGTCCTGTTTCTGGCCTTAGGCAACTTCTATATACTAAGCAGGGATTGGGATGGGAGTCTGCCAAGAGAAGGGGAGGGACATGGATGTATCCTCTTCATTTCT